GAGGCGGAGGATGAGGCGGGAGGAGGAGGAGGAGGCTGGAGGCAAGATGAACAGGAGGAGGAGGAAGAGTAGGAGGAGACGGATGATGATGATGATGAGGAGGAGGAGGAGGTGGAGAAGGAGGGAGGAGGAGGGAGGAGGAGGAGGATGAGGAGGAGGACGAAGAGGATGAGGAGGATGAGGAGGAGGAGGAGGAGGAGGATGAGGAGGAGGAGGAGGAGTGGGTGGTGGTGTTTGTGGTGGTGGAGGTGGAGGAGGAGGAAGAAGAAGACGAAGACAAATAAGAAGAAACCGACTAATACTAATACACAGAATACTACAGATGCGAGTTATAATAATAATATTAATAATACTACTAATAATAATGATAATAATAATAATTTATAGTAATAATAATACTAATAATAATGATAGTACTAATAATAGTGAGAAAACGAATAAAACGACTCATGCTACTAATACGAAGAAAGCGAACCTAATACTAATACTAAGACTAAGCAACAAACGACTAGTCATACGCATAACCATGTTACGAACATAATGGTATGAGTAATAGTAAGAATACGGTTATTAATGAAACGAATACTATTGATAATACGAAACAGAATGGTACCAATACGAATGCTAATACCAAAAGGAATACGACTACTATTCAGAAGGCGACGACTAATAATATTAGTAATAAGAAGACAACACATACTAATATACTAAGAAGCATAATATTAACAATACTAATATGACGAATAATAGTACGACTGCCACCAATAATAATACTCATCCCACTAATATCAATATTCGTACTACTAGTAATACTGTTAATGGTAATCGTAATAATCGTAGTAGTAATAATAATTACAATGCTAATAACACTAATAATAACATTATTACTGCTAATGATCATAAGAAGAGGAGGAGGAGGAGGAGGAGGAGGAGGAGGAGGAGGAGGAGGAGGAGGAAGAGGAGGAGGAGGAGGAGTTGGAGGGAGTTGGAGGAGGGGAGGAGGGGCGGAGGAGGAGGAGGAGGAGGAGGAGGAGGAGGAGGGAGCGGGAGGGGGAGAGGGAGGGGGAGGGGGAGGGGGAGGGGGAGGGGGAGGGGGAGGGGGAGGAGGAGGAGGAGGAGGAGGAGGAGGAGGAGGAGGAGGAGGAGGAGAAGGAGGAGGAGGACGACTCGGAAGGTAGGGGATCAGCACCGCGAGTCAACGTTCTTATTGTGCTCTGACAATCCTGAATAGTTACGGAGCGCCGTTTTTGGAGCGTTATCCAAGAAAACCAGCGTCTTTGTTGCAGATGTTTAAAACGAATGTGCGCGGCGAGAAGGCGAGAGCCACATGTTGAAAAGGAATCTCCCTCAATCTGTGAAGCTTGAGCTAATTTGTGGAACGAATGTGCGTGGCGCTAAGACGATAGCCGCATTTTGGAAACGATCCGCCCTCAATCCGCGAAGGTCTTGCACATGAAAAACGGATCTGCACATCGTTCAGACGAGAGCCACATTTTGAAAACGAATTGCCCTCAATCCGTGAAGCACTTGCTGATTTTTAGAAAGAATGTGTGCGGCGCTAAGGCGAGAGCCACATTTTGAAAACGAGCCCTTCTCAATCCGTGATGCTCTTGCAGTTTTTAGAACGAACGTGCGCGGCGCTTAGGCGAGAGCCACATTAAAAAAACGCGCCGCCCTCGATCCGTGAAACTGTTGTCAGTTTTTAAGCATCAGGATTTTACATGGTGAGGAATTCTCTGGCGAAACGCCCGGCCCGCCCTTTCGACTGGCCCTCATGTGCGGCATGGAGGAGTTATCGATCAGGAAAAGGAGTGGAGGAGGAGGAGGAAGAGGAGGGGGGAGGAGGAGGAGAAGGAGGAGGAGGAGTAGGAGTAGGAGGAGGAGTAGGAGAAGGAATAGGAGGAGGAGTAGGAGTAGGAGTTGAGTTGGGATGTAGTTGGAGTTGGAGAGGCCTTTGGAAGAGGAGGAGGAGGAGGAGTGGAGTAAGGAGTATGAGTAGGCTCCCGGAGTCAAGCTAGCAGCTCGAGCGAGTCAAGCATGGCATGCCCAGTCCCACCCGCCCTCCCACAACATAAGAAGCAAAGCTGGCACAACTGGGGGCCGAAGTCACACCGGCCAGCCGGTTTGGTACAGCTTATGCGGCCGCGATGGCGGTTGCCGACGGGAACTGGCGAGCGCGTGTTGAATGCCGCGCACGCATTGCCAGACGAGTCGAGAAGGGCCCGGTACACCGCAGGAAGCCAGAGGTGGCCGGAGGAAGCCCGACGGTCTGACAGGACACCCCAAGGGGGCCCAGGAGGCCCCAAGAGGCAGGAGTAGTAGTACCAGTGGTAGTGGTGTTGGTAGTGGTAGTGGTAGTAGTAGTAGTAGTAACAGAAAAAGTAGTGCTATGACAAGTACTTGCAGTACTAGTAGTAGTAGTAGTAGTAGTAGTAGTAGTAGTAGTAGTAGTAGTAGTAGTAGTAGTAGTAGTAGTAGTAGTAGTAGTAGTAGTAGTAGT